CTAAGGTGCCACAAGTCCTCCTGTTCTTCTTATTACAGATTTAAAAGTCACTATCATTGAACAAAAAAACTTATGAAACAGACTTCAAAGAGAAAACAGCAGAACTAAAATTCATTTGCAAATTTAACACCGTTAATCTGGGCTTGAATAGGGACTGGGAGTGGCTGGCTCATTACAGAAGCAGCTTTTCTCTCCTGGAATTGACACCTCCCCATCCATTATTGGGAGTGGACTACATCCACCCTGATTGAATTGGCCCTGTCAACACTGGTTCTCCACTTGCGAAGTAACTCCCTGCTCTCCATGTGTCAGTATATAATGCCTGCATCTGTAACTTTCACTCTATGCATCCGAAGAAGTGAGGTTTTTACCCATGAAAGCTTATGCCCAAATAAATCTGTTAGTCTTTAAGATGCCACCAGACTCCTTGTTGTTTTTGTAGATACAGACTAACATGGCTACCCCCGATACAAATTTAATTAACGCATTTTTTTTTTAAATAAGCATCATCAGCATAGAAACACGTCCTCTGGAATGGTGGTCGAAGCATGAACAGGCATATGAATGTTTAGCATATTTGGCATGTAAATACCTCGCAATGCCAGCTACAAAAGTGCCATGAAAACGCTTTTTTCCCACTTTCAGGGGAGATTGTAAATAAGAAGCAGGGCAGCATTATCTCCCGTAAATGTAAACAAACTTGTTTCTCTTAGCGATTGGCTGAAAGTAGTAGTCTGAGTGGACTTGTAGGCGCTAAAGGTTGCATTGTTTTGTTATGGAATGCAGTTATGTAACAAACAAACAAAATCTACATTTGTAAGTTGCACGTTCATGATAAAGAGATTGCACTATAGTACTTGTATGAGGCGAATTGAAATATACTATTCCTTTTATTTGTCATTTTTACAGTGCAAATATTTGTAATCAAAAGTAATATAAAGTGAGCACTGTACACTTTGTATTCTGTGTTATAACTGAAATCAATACATTTGAAAATGTAGAAAAACATCCAAAAATATTTACTAAATTTCAATTGGTATTCTATTAACAGTGTGATTAAAACAGTGATTAAATCGCAATTAATTTTTTTTTAATTTCTAAATAAGTAGGAGAAAAGGATGAATGAGTGTATGCGTTGCAAATGGTGTCGCCCAATTATTAAAATGTAAATATTTATAGGCTAATAGTTCTAAGTCTACAACAGTAAACTGTTTATTCAAATAAGCAATTTTATTTGGGGACTTGAGATATATTGTTTTATTAAACTCAGAGGTGACATTGTGTTTTGAGTTCCATTTTAGTTCTGCAGCAAACCACATTGATATACGGAATGCAAAGCATTAATCTACTGAATACTTTTTTCTTCTGTCTTTCCGTCCACCAAAATAAACTCGATATTTACCCAGAAAAATTATTAATACTTTTTTGCACTGATTTTCACCTGTTCTTGTTGTTGTGGTAATAAACACTGATAAATTCCCAGGAAAAATTAAATAAAATAAAAACTGAAAATGAAAGGCCCTACTGTACTATAAAATCTGAAGAAAAAGGGCATTGTTCCTTCCCCCAGGAGCTTATAAATACAACACTTTTCAAAATGCCATTATACTACCTTATTTTCTAACCTTTATTATTTGTATTACCATAGTGCCTAGGAGCACTAGTCCTGGACTAGGAGCCCACTGTGCTAGGTGCAGAACAAACACAGGACAAACTAATGGTCCCTGTCCCAACGAATTTATAATCTCAGTAATTTCCTAGTATAAGTAACAGAAACACAAAAAGTATTTACTATAAACCTAGGAGCATTCCATTCCACAAACCTGCTCTTTTTCCAGCATATCAGCTTTTCTCAATATCTTCATTGCATAAATATGACCCGTATCTTTCTTCTGGACGAGGCGTACCTAAAATTAAATAGAAAACCATCATTCTAATATACCTCACAAAATTGTTAACAGTAATATCTTGGAGGATTGAAAATTGTTGGCACTTAAAAGATGCATTTGATTTTAAAATCAGGAAGACGGAAGAAAGAAAAACATGACATCTAGACTGATTCTTGCCTGCTTATTTATACCTGCCTCTGGAAATTTCCACCACATGCATCTGATGAAGTGGCAGGGCCGGCTCTAGGCACCAGCAATACAAGCTGGTGCTTGGGGCAGCATATTTTTAGGGGCGGGATTGCCGCGTCCACAAGGCCGGCCC